AAAAAAAAAAAAAAAAAAAATTTAAAAAGCCAGAACTAAAACTCAGGGTTAGTAACCATAAGCCCAGGGGCTTCTCTACAGCCAAGTGACCTTGCTAGACAGCACAGTAATACCAAAGGTAAGGGTTTAAGACAACACTTAATCAAATTATTTTCTCATATTAATAAGACATATTAATCTTATCTGACCAAATAACAAAAACAAAAAGTGTTTTTCAGGCGGGGCGTGGTGGCTCAAACCTATAATCCTAACACTCTGGGATGCCAAGGTTGGTAGAATTGCTTGAGCTCCGGAGTTCAAGACCAGCCTGAGCAAGAGCAACATCTCCGTCTCTAAAAATTAGCTGGGCATTGTGGCAGGTCCCTGTAGTCCCAGTTACTTAGGAGGCTGAGGTAAGGGAATTACTTGAGCCCAAGAGTTTGAGGTTGCTGTGAGCTGTGATGCCACAGCACTCTACTGAGGGTGACAAAGTAAGACTGTCTCCAAAAAAAAAAGTGTTTTTTCCATAGTATTTTCTTCTCTGTCTGTAATTAAAATACTGAAGATATTTGTGTGCTATACTATAAAAGACACACCACATCCAAGGTACTGAGAGGTAAAAGAAAATACCAGGATGATTAGTCTTCATAAGACCCTATACTTACTTCTCCAGGTAGTGCTGCTCATTCCACCACTAATATTCCAGCTTGAATCACAGTTTTTTAAGATTCTGCTCAGAAGTGAACTCCTCTTTGAAACCTTTCCTAAAGTAACTAAATCACTCATTCTCCAACCTCAGCAATACCCTTCCACAGTAATAGTCTTTAACCCTTTTGCACTTCCTTATCTATTGGTTACCCACCATTAAGATTTTATTCATCAATTCTTCATCTCCTGGGTCCAGCACCGTACATAACATATAGGTATTCAATATGACAACTGGTCCTTATTAAGCACTGAGAATACACCATTTACATTTGCATTCTGCACACATTATTTCAGTTAATCATTATATGCCTATTAACCCACTTTTCAAATGAAGAGACAAGTATGCAACTGAGGTAAAATAACCTGCCTATTAAACGATTAGCAAGTCTCAGGTGAGTGAATTGATGGAGCCTTGTCTTACAGAAACCAATACCATCTATGCAGTTAGAGCCTCACTTTAGCAAGCTCTGTGGAATTCTATTCTGCCTGTGCTCTGTCCATCACAGATAATCAAAGATAATCTAGCTGTAGCTTTATCAGTAGAAATGCTAAAACATAATGTATCAAAATTATGGCTTTTTTTTTTTTTTACTTCCCTAGCCATCAAAAGGAAACAATGTCTCTAGCAACCCATTCATAACAAAGAATATATACAAAAAGATATAAAACCAAAACCCAAGAACCCAGAAAGCAGCTAAAATTCTGTTGGCAAGTGAATTTCTTAGTGTTTTAGATTTTGATGGTGGTGGGGGAGTGGGGGTACAGTACTAGCAGAAGATAGAAGCATGGTAATTAATAGCACAACTTGAATCCCTTGCTAGGTAGGCAACCCAAGGCAAAATAATCTTTCGGAACCTAGTCCCTAATTTATAAACTAGAAATAACATCACTTTTCTTTAGATAGGGTTTCACAAAATTGCTCTGGCTGGCTTTGAATTCCTGGGGTTCAAACAATTCTCCTGCCTCAATCTCCTGAGTAGCTGGGACTAAGGGCAACATGCCACTATGCCCAGCATCAGGATTGCTGTGAACTTCAAATGAAGCATGTAAGTTACACAACACAATACCTGGCACTTGGTGAGCTATCATTACAAAAAAGTCAAGCAAGTACAAAATTCACTTTTTGTTTCAAGATAATACCTAGGGAATGATCTTTCTGACCCAGACATTTTATAGCCATTAGAATTTCCTCTAAATCAGTGGTTCTCAACCTTCCTAATGCTGTGACCCTTTAATACAGTTCCTCATGTTGTGGTGACCCCCAACCATAAAATTATTTTCATTGACACGAACTGTATTAAAGGGTCGTGGCATTAAGAAGGTTGAGAACCACTGCTCTAAACGTTACTTTAGATCAGGGGTCCTCAAACTTTTAAACAGGGGGCCAGTTCACTGTCCCTCAGACCATAGGAGGGCCGGACTGCGGGCCCGGGACGAGTTGACTGCTAAGCAGGACAGTCAGCGGCGGCAAAAACACCTGGTGGGCCAGATAAATGTCCCAGTGGGCTGCATGTGGCCCGCGGGCCATAGTTTGAGGACGCCTGCTTTTGATCATCTTTCTTAGGATTTTCCCTATTATGGCAGCCCACTTTACATTACGCATGTAATCTTCACCTCTGCAAGTACATCACTACTTCTGCTAGCATAAAGGCCTCTACTGTGACCTGCAGAATCCTTACCAGTCTGAAATGAACCAACTGAACAAAGATGATGATACAATCTTTTTTTTTTTTTT